GTCCATGCATAGTACATATTGTTATCGATAAAGGTAACATAGCACCAGGAGTTGTCATAGGAGGGTTTCCAGAATCGTCCGCTTAGGTTGGACTGAATTGAATAGAAAGGTGTGTCACATCGTTTCTCAGTTGATTTGGGTTTTGACTTAGTTGACTTGAATGTGATGCAGGTTTCGTATTGCAAGTCTTTTGCAACGGTAGAGATAGCAGAAGAGTCAGAGTAGTTGTCGGCTTTGAGGTATTGTGGTGGTGGATGTCCAAGGGCTTCGTGCCACTTTTTGTAAGTTATCTTGTTCGCTATTTCCTTTTCCTCTTACATAATATAATCCTGTCCGTCAAGCTTTCCCCACAGAACCTCTGTTTTATTTTCCCTAAAAACATACATATCCTTCCCAGAACTCTACAAAGAAACAACTTTTCCCAAAGAAATGATAGTGCGCCACCACAACAAGTTGTTAGAACCCCACTTACGAACCCAAAGAATCCGTTGTAGAAAGACAGAGTCTGTCCAGCAATTAGATGTTTTTACCTTAAGCTCTACTGTTCCATGGCCACATGAGTCTATTACCGAATCATCGCCTAACATAACTGTGCCTTGTAAAGTTTCAAAGTTTATAAGAAGGTCTAGGTTTAACGTCATGTATGAGCTTGCACCTGTATTGATAATCCATTGATTCCGGTGAGGGGTCTTTTGCATAGGAGGTGAGGAGGTAGAGGTACTAACCAGTTTGGATGTTTCTCCCTTTCCGATCTTAGGTGAGTGTCCAGCTCTGTACTTGTCTCACTTCTCGTTGTTGGCCTTGAGCTTGTTACACTCATTTCAGGAGTGGCCTTCACTGTGAGCAGAGGGGTAGTGCTTTTTACAGTAGGAACATTCCTTCATTTCGGCCGGTTGCCGATGGACCATGTCATGTGCCTTTCCCTTTCCTTTGATGTCAGCGCTTTTATACACCTTATCGTCCTCAGAATTAGCTGCAGATTTCAAGTTCAATAGTTTGTTGTAAACATGGTTGTAGGTAAGGTCCTCCTTAGTTTAGAGGTTGTTGACGATGTTGCTAATCAACAGGGACAGGGAATAGAGGAGAACGATAGCTTTGGCTTTGGTTGACTTGAATACCAATTTAAAAATACATGGTAAAGCGTATCGGTCAGTTTCTGAAGCTAGAGAGGAACAATGTTCCGAGTCTATGCGATTCCATAGGGTGTTGTGCTTGTTGATGTAGTCCAGCATAGGTTCAGATGTATCGTACGTGGAATTGAGGACCACATTTAGCCAGTCAAAGAAGGAGGTGTTTTCACAAGCAAATTTATCTTTGAGGGCTGTCCAACTGGTGGGTGGTATCTTGTGGGTGGCCAGCAAGAGAAGCTACTTTGGGTCGATTGTTTTGAGCAAGTAGGCCAAGGCCCACTGGTAACGATCTTGGAAAGCTTCATGAGTACTTTCATTATTTTCTGTAAGTGTTTCTATATCCGGTATGCTTTCTGCTCCTGTTACTATATCCCAACAATTAAACAAGGTGAGAACATATTCTGAAATATCATGCCAGGTTCTATAGTTTTCTGGCCCCATGAGCTTTGAAATTGTGCTCAGTTTGTAGTTAAGTGCCCAGGGTCGCTTAGAGTTAGCGGAATTTTGCGTCAGTGGGTTGGCAGGGCCTGGAGGATCCATTGGTGGAGATGGAGGCAGTGCACTCAGTGGCGGCACAGGTGGTAGTGGAGGAGGGGTTGGAAGTACCGGAGGGAGCGGGGGTGGTGCAGGAGGTAGTGGTAGTGGCTGATCCTATTGTTGTTTAAGATCTTCTTGAAATTCTTCATCGTAAGCTGGAGGTTGGTGTCTGGCAGATCTGCCAGAACTTAACATAAAAATAGGTTATTAACTTATATTAAGAAATATTAATCTATATTATAATCCTTAATCAATGTTATTAACTACTACCCCCATTGGCCAATACTTCTACACTAGTGAAAGCCTGTTTGCAGAATACCTCAGTTGGACCTGGGGCCTACTGTGTTTCACCAGTAGGGTCTGATTCAGGCTCCCAAAAGAGTAAGAAGTACTAGAGGGGTGATGGAGGACTGGGTGAGCAGTGCCTAAGGAAAGAAGCGGATTGGGAGGAAACAGGTAGCAGATTCAGCTTGTAAGCGAGGAAAATGCCAAGAACGTTTTGCCGAGAAAATTTTGTGCCAAGCAATAAAGTTTGGTTTCAAGAGAAGTTTCATTCAGACCAATGTTTTCGACTCAGATGTTTTGAGAAATGATTTGGTCAGATGAATTCATTTCACATTGAGATAGAAATGGTTTGTGTCGAGAAACATGTTTTGATTGACGCAGGTAGGAAGCGAGTAGCTGTAAGTTGTATAGTTATAGAGGCACCTGGCTGATAACCAATTCAAATGTATGGGTACAGCACTATCTTAATAACTTTGTATGAAAATACAATAGTGTAGAAAGAGTATACCACAGGCACACTAAGCAAGGAGGAGTTTTATATGAAGGTAGATTGGCAGTAGTTCTTGTCCTTAATTCTCTTAAGTGAGATGGGTACTAACCCCTATTTATACAGGTGCGTATCCTTTGTGTTACTAAGAGGAAATGTAAGAGAAAATATAAGTGTCAATGTGTTTGACCATAACATAAGTAGGAAAAACATAAGTGTGAACATCTTTGACCCTAAAGAACTGCCAAGGAAATTCCATAAAACATGGGTAAATCTGAGGTGGTATGAATGGATAATTAGAACATAATTGTAAATCAAATGACCGATGACTGTGCATGATAATGCATAAAATGTGAGAAATAAACCCAAAACACCAGATAAGAAAAGCACGCCATAATCCCCTAATCATATCATAAAATATCAAATAAATTATATATGATACATACTCCATGGTAGTAATGTCCATGTCTAGAAATAATACTAAGTAGAGGAATATACGATATTATCAAGGAGAATATAATATTATATATAAAACAAATTAGAAAATTCAACAGAATGTTCTTTCATACAGGTTGAAATTCCGATACTAGCAAAACAGGCGATTTGTCATGATAAAAATCCAATAGCATCACCACATCTAGAGAATTAAGGCAAAATAGTACCTACTAGTAATTAGGATATCAGTCCAAGGATATGCTCCTCAATCAGAGGTACCAGACCTGGGTCACAATATCATAGTAAGGTATGAGGCATGGAAGAAATGTCAGGATGCAGAATATAGTATGAAAACTAAGTTATAATAGGCACAGGAAGAATGAGATGTAGTTAGAATATAACATACAATCTACAGAGATTATTTGAAGACTGCCAGCAGGTGACAGTTATCTTTAAGATATAAGGAAGACAGGAATCAGCATCCATATACAGTTTGCAGTACAGAATAGCTGTAAACAAAACATCAGGATACTGTATAGCAGTTGCTTTATATCCTAATTTATCGTTTGTATAAAACCTTTACTACTGTATATTTTATGCAGAATAGCACTGGGCCATACTGATCAATGAAAATTACCTACTTTCTTGTTTGAGGTAGAATACAGATATTATTCTGATCAATCTTATCACTTAATCTGAACCCTATTAAGAATGCTTGGCACATGGTCAAGCAAAGGCTACAGAAGCAATTTAGGCAAAAATTCTTTTACCTCCAGACTAAAGAGGAGCTAGTATAAGTAGGATGTGATAAGTAGGAGCTAATTCCTCAGATAGTAATTCATTGCTAAGTGGACTTGATATTGGAGTAAATTAGGGTAGTTTCAGGAATATCTGAAAGACCTACAAACTAGTTATGAAATTACTAGCTTTTCTTCTTTGATTTTACTTATTTCTTAAACTATTATTTTCTTTCTATTTTTGCCTTCAAGATCTTTTATTCCCATTATACTGTCTACCAAGCAGGGGGGGGTGTCAAGACTTTCCACATGCTAGTTTGTATGAAAACTACTATAATAAGAGTTGACCTAGCATTAAAGCTATTTTGAACTAAATAAAGACATTCAAGTTTGAGTTAGGATAACGGTATAGTTATTAGAGGATAGGTTTCTCTTATTATTAGATTTAGTTTTGTATAACAGAGATTAGTACATAGACATGTAGATCCAAGCTACATTACTACTATATTCTGGATCCTGCTTTGTATCCTGCTTACAAGGAAGATTAGAATCAGGGTCAATACTACTTCAAAAATCTCCTAATCCTATTTGTCTATTGAACTTGAAGCTTTATTAGTTTGCTGCAAAAGTATCTTCTGAAATAAAGACTACTATGTAAGATGCTAGCACACCTATGCTGTGCCTTCCTAATGTCAAAGACAGATTGTTAGTTGGTTACTTAGGAAAAAAAGGACTGCCTGTTATCTTCCTAGTATGATTTGGGTAGGTCCAGGTAAAAACCAGTCAGACTCAAGTATGTTTGTTTATTTTTTTCCTGTTTCTAGTGTCTGCTAGTAGAGTTCCCTTTTCTGCCTACTTTGTCTAAATTTCGCAAGAGGAGGTGCAGTTAATTTCAGATAAGAGGAACTGTAGGATTGGAGACATTGGATAGGAGTAGGCTACTTTTCTTAAAGGGTTTTAGGCTGTACCTTAGGGGGAATGCCATGGTCTTTGCTGTAGATAGCTACGAATAAACTGCGGACTTAAAAAAAAATTTTGGACATTTACGAATAGTGTAGATCCCGCCTCACTAATTCTGTGCCAGGCATTGACGATCTTTGTATTAGCACCACGCTAAAAGTGAGTAAACGAGAGTACTCGAGTACTCGTATGATACACAATACAGTTTAAGAGATGTGGACGGATTACCCGAGTAGACTAAGGGACAGTGTTCGCGCGGGATCTTAACTGGTATTCTAAAAATAAGCCTACCGACCACATCCCTGTAATGTACGGAACGTACTGGAAATTAGAGAGAATGGGGCCATGCGATAAGCGATGGTGGTCAAGGGGAGGAAAGGGAATGAAATAAATAAAAAATGAGCACCAGTACTACAAACCGCTCCAGCCTCACAGCCGCATCTCCCTCTCGATCACCTTGTAGATCTTGCCCTTCTTAGGCCCAGAGCTCAACGCTAGCTTTAGTCTACTAATGAGTTGTGATGTGAAAGGCAAGATGAGAATTTCAAACGAAGCGGACAAGCCGAATCCAATGGCAGCCATGGTTAGGAGGAAAAACTTGAAGGATAACGGAAAGTCTGTGAGCTGCATGAGGTCGCAGAGCCAGGTCACGGGATTAAGGACCATATAGGCCGAAAATAATACACCAGTCGCGACTGTAATCACAAAGGGAACTATGCACAAGCGGGGATTAGTGGTGACCTGATAGATATGTGATCGCGGTGGTTCCTCACGATTTTCTCGCATTGGTTGTCTAAATGGTGCCCCTACGCTCAGCACAACTGCCGCGCCGATATACTGGAAGCAGGATATGAGGAAGAGTGTCGTGTTCTCGGAATTGAAGATGCCATTTTTTTCTCCGCCAATGACTGGTGGAATATACCAGTTCTGGCGCCTTACGGCCATGTAGCAACCTAGTTGAACGATGAACTGCAATAGTATCTGCCCCAACAATGGCACCAAGACCTTGCGCGATACAAGACTTGCGGTGGGTCTCTTGGGGCAGAGGACAGGGTGTGGCCCGGACCACCCCACTAAGGAATGTTAGCAAAGGGTAGAGTCTGAAACTCGGAGAATTGACTTACTAAAGACGGCCAGGGGCAGGATGAGGAACAGGTCAATGAAAAGGAACTGGGTGGTGTGAGTGGAGAATCTCTGGAGGACGGCTAGTGACACGCACCTGAACATCGCCAAGATTTGATGCTGACCGGTAGAGTATGCTCACGCTCGTAAATTGGATAGCGGAATACAAACTCATGAATTTGAAACAACTGAAGCTAGTCACAAGCGCTGCTCTCCCTTCCCTAGGCAAAAGGGTTAGTATTACTCATTGAGAGGTTTGCATCGCTCGGGACATACCTGATAACCTCGGGGACGCAAGAGATGTCAAATACTCTGCTAGTAAACGGGGCAGCCACTGATGCCTCTGCTTCGGAGAGGGAGATACCAACATCTGCAGCCTTTAAAGCACCACAGTCATTGGCCCCATCGCCGCAGAAACCGACGCAGTATTCCAAGCTTTGCAGCTTCTCAACTAACTCGTGTTTCTCATCCGGGGACATTCTCGCGAACACTTGGCCACGGGCAAGCATCTAGACGAGTTAGCGATGTTACGCTAGGGGGCTATAATTTCGTACCCGGTGCAGGACTTGCTTTGGGGCATAATCTATAATCCATCTGAACACATCACCGCTTATGGCCAGAGAGTATCCGCGTACACTGCTGATTTGGTATGGCCCAGAGAGACCTGTGCCATCAGGCGCAGGCAAGGGCTGCAAGACATCAGATAAATGCGAGGGAAAACTCTGCGGGGTAGATGTCCCTACCAAAAGAGTCCGCTCATCAAGGGTCCATTCTCGGTCGTCAACATTCTCCCACTGCAGCCTTGAGTTTGTAGTACGAAAGTCGCCCTCTGCGAAATGAGGGACAAATATGTGGGCACCCATATCAACCAGATTGCATTCCCTTGCAACGCTAATCGCAGTTAAAATGTTGTCTCCGGTGCACATGACCTTTCGAATCGCAGCTTGCGAGAGCTCTTCAATGACTTTAGCGGTCTGTGGTTTTAGCTTGTTCTCGAAAATGATGAACCCAACGAAGTCAAGGCCGCTCTCTGCATCAGCACGCTTCATCTTCTGGGCCTTGATCCAACTAAGTTTGGGGAGATATTTGGTTGCACACCCAATCACTCGATATCCCCGATGGGTATAGTGTGCAAGGAGTTCGTCGTAGTCCGCAGGAACTGCAGTATATGACTATTTAACAGGGCTTACTATAACGCTAGCAGGCAATATTAGAAACGTACAGCTTTCCGATTTGCAGATCTCCTTCATACACTCTGGGGCCCCTTTGACATATATATTTCCGCCGGCAGCCCGGAACTGTTTAACAACGACACTGGTGCGGCGAAGATGAGAAACGAATTCGAAGGACTTGAATACCCCGAGCTCTAGTCCATTCTATTGGCAAATGGGCGGTTAGTTCAAATAAATAAGGAATGGCCAAAAATATTTCGGATGGAGGCCATATACCCCTGCTGGCACTGAATCGTAGAGATCGCCATTTAGAGGAGTGCCCTTGAAGGCCGGCGGTCTGACCACTGGAGGAGAAATGCCGGTTGCCATGCCATGATCACCATTTGCCCCCCCGTCCGCCCCGCGAGCCTTCTTTCCTTCTTCCTGATATGACCATTTTGTGAATTCAAACATCTTTATATCCAATGGATCCCCGACCAATTCGTCGTCGACAAGGCGGAGGGAATGACAAGTTGTCATCGTATATAGAATAGCCTCGGAGGACGTGAGGCTTTCGGAAGGGTTATGATCGAGGTTCGGCGACAGGCTGTCGGCATCTTTGTATAGATCAGAGAATCTAGGATATGATGAGCACAAAAAAAACCCTTCATGTTAGGGTTAAAAGATTACTTCGGCGAAAATAATTCGACAGCATGAACACCGAGCACATCAAGTCCATCTTCAGTCAAGGTGCCGGTCTTGTCAAAACAAATAACATCGAGTTTACCACCGATGTTTACACTTTCACCACTTAGCAAGCGGCCTCGTATTCCGAGGAGGGCTCATACCGCTGGGGACTAATGCAAAATATATCCTTTCTCTTGAGCCTGGAGATGGCGAAATTGGTCCCGATAGTGAGAGTGGCGGGTAACGCGGGTGGCACTACTATAGTGACGAGATCTAGCGCCCTCACGAGAATAGTTTGCCACGGTAACTACGGGATGTTAGCTAGGTCTGTTGTGGTAGGGTGTCTGAAAGCCTACCTTGAGGCGGACAAAGTTTATGAAAGACGCGACAAAACCACATGCTGCGATTCCACTCATTACAGCAATATAGTAGAACGAGTCTCTGTAAAACCTGAATCCCGTCGGCTTGGGGAAGAGCATAGAGCGGACCAAGGCTCCCTTGGTAGTGTTAAAACCGGTTCTAACGACCATAGCCAATCCAACCGCTTCTTCATCAACCCCATCTTGAGGTTTACGAGCCCTAATGATCTTTGTGCCGGAGAAGAGGAAGTGTCGGGCTAGTTCAGGGAGAATTGAGGAGGATGCAAGATTCAACGCTTGGAGAGCTTCATCCGTACAAGGGACTTTAGAAACCGGAACAGATTCACCTAGAGATATGTCAGACATGGTCTGCGAGTAAAAACAAAGAGCGGATTTACCAGTCAGCATGCTCTCATTCACGATGCAGTCTCCGGTTAAGAGAATACTATCACAAGGATACAGGGCCAAGGAAGGATCAGTGATCTCATAAACATCGCCAGGAACCAGGTCGTTGGACGAGACGTAGCACCCTATAGATGTCAGCACCTTCAATCAGAGGTTTGGCACCCGCTTGTTGGGTCGCCTTACAAAATCCATTGCGGAGCACGCGCACATCGCAGACGAAGCGTGAAACCTCGCGCAACCTCCGCATGGTCTACTTTATCAGCGATTGCATCATTGCGGCTCCGGTAAATCAAACTTACTGATTTGGTTTCTATCAGGGTACTCGTGATGCTGATCGCTGATATTATAAGGATACAAGTGGCATAGTAGTAGTAGTCGTCGATTGTCCATAAAACCAGACTGGCTATTTGAAATACGTAAAATGGGTGGAAGGCCTGGTTGTTTTGTTAGTGAGTGCTCGGCGGCGCGTAATTCAGTGAGTCCATCGTTTCCGCTGGCAGAGAATGCACCAAGTAAGATAGACGGACCTCTTCTACTAAAAGCTGCATAGTGGTTTTTTCCTCTATGTCTATAACATTGTCTCCAAAAACAAGGCTCCGATGCTCCTTTTCATCGCCATTTATTCCTGAACGAATTGATCTCACATTGTCCCAATTGGGATCTTTCCAGCTATTGTTGAGTATAAACTTGTCCAATAATGGGTGATAGCAGAATCTGATATACCGATAATCCAAATACCGAAGGAAGATTATGACTGGATCGTCATCTTCATCTGGATCAGGGAACGCCAAGGTTTTTTCATGCAGGCCAAAAACAGTTGACAAATTTTGGCCATATCGACGTCTTTGAACCCCTTGGACGATAAATTCGCCCCACTCATTCTACAAAAACGTCAACAAAATGTTGGAACGATGCATACTTCCTCTGCATACCTCAATAGCGACCCAATGGCATTCACGAAGAGGAGTGCGCCTCCCTACCAGCCGCACACGCCAACGAGGAAGCCATCGAAGAAGTAACCATCCCATCCCCAGAGTAACCGTGGAAATTAAAATGTATAACGTGTAGCCCAACAGACTCGTGGTGAACCCGGCAACCACAATGGTCAGATCCTCTGTAAGGATATATATCTTTTGTGTTGTCCGCCTAGAGTCTCGATTTATAGTTGTAGAGTCCCGAGGGCTTAGAAGAGGGTCCTCAGAGGAAAGAGGAGTCGCAGAAGACATCCGACGCAAGGGAGCTCCCTCATCGATTCTGCCCTCAGGATAAGAAGGCACATATTCGTCGTCGTCGTCATCTATGATGGCTCCCCCGTCGCCCCCGTCTTCGGCCTCCCGGAAGCTGGCTCGATCATCCTCTCCAGGTTGAGGGTGGTAGAAGGACCAGCTTGCGTTCGAATCAGCTCGGAAATGGCGGCGGTGTTGGAAAGAGGTTACACTCGAGGCGAGGCTCTCCGAGATCGGACCCGCGAAGACCTAGCATGAAGTCAGAGAGGGACGCCGCCATTAGGGCGGATGGTGGCACAAACCTCGTTCTGAGCCATCTCAACTTCACTGTAAAAACTTGCATTGCTGGCTACCGAGTCTCGGCGATAATGGTGCGGCTGACGGAGCTCTTGGACATGCTGGGCCTGAGCCTGATGAAGAGAGGGATGCTCGGGCCTGGCGTTGCCGCCCCTGGAGAGTGGGCTGGAAGTATCTCCCATCGGCCAATTTCAGAAATCGCAAGGTAAAACCTCTAGACCCGGGTGTGAACGGGGGACGGATGGGTACAAGAACTGACGGCCTAAGGCGGAGGGAGTGGAGCAGGGTTAGTGGAGCAGGGTTGCGGATAAGGAAGATCAAGCTTGAAGAAGGGGAATAGATAAGGCAGGGCACCCGTATTGGAAGTCTATTTAAGTGACAAGGAGGAGAAGAAGGAGTCCTGCCGGCACGGTACGATACTCGTTCTCAAGGGAAGATTGGCATACAGGTCTCATATCACGTGCTGCGCAATTACCTGGCGGACTGCTTAAGGTCGATCCATGCATTTTACCGGATTAGCCCTGCGCGATCCGTGCTTTCCCATGATAAATTATACGCCAAGAATCCATGATACTGTACTCGAGTGCCCTTACCGGTATCCTTTCTTTCCCTCTTGCCGGTATTGTACGTACGGTACACTACTAGTACTGTACTCGAGCACCGTGCTAGGGTCATAGACTATCGATTACTCGAGCTGCGAGTGGTTTGGCAACGAATATCTCCCCTGTGGGGCTCAAGATCTGTTTTCCCTTTATCTGATCGATCTTATCAGAATTCACTACGGCCTCATATGCATGAGTAATTTCCTTGATAACACAGATTTGGTCGAGTAATTTCTACCCCGGCACCATCTTCACCCCTACAATCCGCACCAATATTCTGATCCCCCCGCCCCAAACTTTCAACAACCAATTGCCTCCAGTTTCCACAATGCCAACCATAACGGTGGCTTTGTCCACCCGACCATTGAAGCCGAACAAGAAAGGCGTGGTCCCTTCCTCCGAACGCGAGCGCTACGTCCAAGCATGCGCCGATATTGCCCATCGTTTAATTCAACTTCACGAAGAGGGCGAGGGAGGGAAAGATGTGAACCTTAATGCCCTGAGAGGCCAGATCTCGAAAAAGCACAAACTGAAGACAATCCCACCGCTCATAGCAATCATTGCTGCTATTCCAGAGCACTACAAAAAATACATTGTTCCCAAACTAATAGCCAAACCAATCCGTATGAATTACATGCAGCCCCTTCGCAGCCCCCATAGCTGAGCGTTTGTAGGCACAAGCTCCGGAATAGCTGTCGTGGCAGTCATGTGCAAGCCGCACAGATGTCCTCATATTGCCTATGTAATTTCCCGCCCTGCTAACCCATCTGTCATGCTCATGTGTTGTGAAGACAGGAAATATTTGCGTCTATTGCCCCGGAGGTCCTGACTCGGATTTCGAGTACAGCACGCAATCGTATACCGGCTACGAACCAACCTCTATGAGAGCGATTCGTGCGCGCTACGATCCTTTTGAACAAGCTAGAGGGCGTGTGGATCAGCTGCGGCAGCTCGGGCATAGTGTGGATAAGGTCGAGTTTATTATTATGGGAGGCACCTTTATGTCTCTCCCGGAGAGCTATAGGGACGGATTTATAGCAAGCTTACACAACGCACTTTCAGGATATACCTCGGAAAACGTGGACGAGGCTGTCCGGTGAGGTGCCATGCGTCCCCTCCTGCAATTTTGTGTACAGCTAATTTGAATCCAGTCTAGCAGAACAATCTGAGACTAAATGTGTGGGGATTACAATTGGTTCGAGACCCACAAGTTGCACTTCAAAAGCTACTAACCTTATATAGAGACAAGGCCGGATTATTGTCTTGACCAGCACTTAAGCTCTATGCTACGTTATGGCTGTACACGCCTTGAGATTGGAGTTCAGAGTCTTTACGAGGATGTCGCCCGAGATACAAACCGTGGCCATACCGTGAAAGCCGTGTGTGAGACATTTAAACTGGCGAAGGATTCGGGCTACAAAGTTGTGTCACACATGATGCCAGATTTACCTAATGTAGGCATCGAGAGAGATCTGGAGCAATTCAAAGTAAATCATCACAGGATCCAATATGATTCCCCTCAAACGCTAACCGCGGATAGGAGTATTTCGAGAATCCGGACTTTCGAACGGACGGCCTCAAGATCTACCCAACCCTTGTCATTCGAGGCACAGGTCTCTACGAACTCTGGAGAACAGGGCGATACAAAAACTATACCCCCAACGCCCTCATAGATCTAGTCGCTCGTATCCTAGCCCTCGTTCCTCCATGGACCCGTATCTACCGGGTCCAACGCGACATCCCAATGCCCCTTGTAACTTCTGGCGTTGAGAATGGTAACCTCCGCGAGTTGGCCTTGAGCAGGATGAAAGACTTCGGAACAACATGCCGTGACGTGCGCACCCGTGAAGTCGGGATTCAGGAGGTGAAGAACAGGGTACGCCCAGATCAAGTGGAGTTCATCAGACGAGACTATACGGCGAACGGCGGATGGGAGACATTCTTGAGCTATGAGGATCCGAAGCAGGATATCCTGATCGGACTGCTACGGCTACGGAAGTGTTCTGATCGAACGTTCAGGCCTGAACTCACTGGTAAGCCTACAAGCTTAGTTAGGGAGTTGCATGTTTATGGATCCGCGGTGCCGGTGCACAGCCGGAATCCGAAGAAGTATCAGCATCAGGGGTATGGTACTTTGCTCATGGAGCAGGCGGAGAGGATTGCCAGAGAGGAACATGGGAGCCGAAAGATTAGCGTGTAAGTGAATGGGCTAACGTCCCTGAATCCAACAATGGTAGCTAATGTGGACTGTTTTATTACAGTATTTCGGGCGTCGGGGTGCGAAAGTACTATGCTAAACTCGGGTATCACCTAGAGGGCCCGTACATGTCGAAGTTTCTGGGTAGGGGTGAAGATGATAATTATGTTGGGTACAACTAGTACGATAATATGCTCGCTCGTTGGACGTGCATGCTCATAAATGTCGGGTATTAGGGTACATGCATGGTACCAATGTATCCTACAGAGTCCCGATGTCTTCGGCTTGATGTGCGCATTTGACTGCGGGCTAGCTACTCGAGGGCCACGCAGCCGTCTCCCTGGCTTCCATGACAGATAATAGAGCTTCGGGGAACAATTTATGAATAACTTTTCTCCGCCCATGCTATAAATTTCATCCCACCCATAATAAACCCGAATCGCACCTGCGAGTCAATCCTCCGCCATCCATCCCAAAGCTCCCGCACTGGCTCCCTTCTCCTCCACCATTTTGTCCAAACCAACTACCCGAAACAATAAGTCTTGGGAATCTGGTGCTTCCTACCCTAACCTATCCAACAGGGAAGTGGGCCACAACAGGGAACTGGGCCACCCCAAGAAACTTGTTAAACCCACTCGAATTTATGAACAGATATTCAGTAAAGCAGTAATGTAGAAAGTGAAGCCCCCAATAATAAAAACAACATTTTCCTAGTATTAACGAAAGCACCATAAAAAATAAAGTAAAAAGTGAATGTAAAGAAAAATAACATTTAAGCCTACTGGAGAGGAAAGTTCATCTAATTCTCTATCAAAGCTTACCTCAAAGCTTACCAGTAATTTACTAAAGATGCTTACTGCACTAGCCGATTCATAAAGTATCCGGACACCTTGGCACCAAGATATTTCTGATATGATAAAGTACCTCTCCAAAAGTGTTGGTGAAATGACCTTTTTACACCAAAAATTGGCAGGTTTGATCAACCACCACACCTGGAATTGCTTCAAATAATCCTTACAACCCATATAATTATTTTCACCTTCACTGCAGCTTTTACCTGACACTATTTATTTTGTCAATTTATTCTATGGGGCTAAACTACAAGTCTCTAAAGTTGACAATACCCGTTGCTATGCCATTTTTTGTATGTAAAATGAGGCTTTTCAGTGAAGTCAAAACTTTAGGACTGCATAACTTCTCTAATTCTTCCCCAAAGTTATTAAGAGTTAAGTAGGAGTAGGGTGGGATTATTGTAACTACATACCAGAAGTCAGGTTGTAAAATCTTTTGTGGTTCCTAAACTACCAGTAGCGAAAAATCAATGTTTTTGGTGTA